AGATTTGTAAAAATGTAAGGAAATCTTGAATCTTTAAAAAGCAAAGCCAATTAGTGTAGAGACCGTCGTTTGCAGAACAAGTCTGAAGTGAGTCGTTGCTAAAGAAAATAGACGAAACTGTGTTTATTCAGTTTCATTCAGTTTCTCCAATACTTTAAGTTATAATAAAACAACGCTGTACAAAGTTATTCATTACAGCAGAGTGGTAAAGAGAAATAAATCTAGGAACGAATAATACCGGCTTTTGAAGAATTTATACACTAAAAAAGGTATCGTAGATAAAAAGATTATTTAAATTACTCATAAACTTACATCTCAAGGTCACTACGATATAAACTAGTGAAATAGTTTACTTGAAAAAAAATCCTGATTTAAAATATTGTATAACTAGCTGTACCCGTGCGACTTCATCTGCATAAAATTATGAAAATTTTATTTTATTGTTTACATGTGTCAAATTGTCAAAATAACATGACATGATGACAAACCATGGCAACCTTGCTTCATTGATGTTGGCAGCAACCTATGGTCTCTCTCCCACATTAGGGTTTTTATCCAAAAAATTTACCCCTATAAGTTTAATGGCCTGAAAATATATAGTCTAAAGCGTGACGTATGTGTAGGGCTTTTTATTAGAAAAAAAATATTGAAAAACATGCTGTAATTGCTGACGTCTTAGGCAACAAAGAAGTGTGTGTTTACACTTTATTAAAATACTAGCTGTTCCCGTGCGACATCATCCGCAAAAAATTATGATTTTTTTTGTTAACATTTGTCAAATTGTCAATTGCAAAAGTCAAAATGACATGACATGATGACAAACCATGGCAACCTTGCTTCCTTGATGTTAGCAAGAACTTATGGTCTCTTTTCTACATTAGGGTTTTTATCCAAAATATTTACCCCTCTAAGTTTAATGGCCTGAAAATATATAGTGTAAAGCGTGACATAAGTGTAGGGCTTTTTATTAGAAAAAGAATTATTCAAAAACATGCTGTAATTGCTGACGTCTTAGGCAACAAAGAAGTGTGTGTTTACACTTTATTACAATATAGTATAGTATAGATATAGCTAATGTCAGTTTATAAAATGTTTTCTTAATAAATTATTTACTGATTGGAACTTAGCCTGTTTGTACCTATGCGGTTAAAAGCTGTAGCTCAAAGTGCATATATCTATTTGCGGTTTAAATTCCCAATATTTAGTAAATGTAATGATAAAATAGCCTATATCGTGTAATACTTTCTAATATATCGCAGGGTATATAGGTCGAGGTCGTGCAACCACTGATTTTATCAGGTGCGCTGGGCTCACTGCCAATTTACCGAAATTCACTAATTTAATTTGTAATTAAACAATTCGGCATCAAAAAATTTTTGGCTACATCCAAATTATTACTTCTATCAATTTGCATAACTAACAAGAATGATGGACATGTAAAAAATTGTAATTTGTGTAAAGATTTGTGAAAACGATTTAAACGAATTTATTACAAGAGATTCACACAGAACTAACTAAAAGAATTTTATAAAATATTTAAAGTAAGATTTTTTCTTGGTCATTAAAGTTTTACTATGAAAACGGACCACTGAAGAGAGAATTTTTAATCTTGTAATGGATTCCTTACGAGCCTCGTGCAAAATTTATAAGGATTCTTTTAGTTTATTTCGTCATACAAAAATCAGTATTTCACAGATGGTGACTGTCTCCTGACATTTCGTTATAAGATAAACTTACAAAATAAATATGTAACAAAGTAATTTCAAATTCTATATGAAGCAGGCGCACACCTTTGATTAAAAACTATCGCACAATTGTAATGATTGTCGTCTGTTTCGCAGCCAATTCAACTGTTTGGTTGCACAACTAAAATAGAGTAGTGCACTTCCATATAATCTCATAGGAATCAAAGCGAGTCTAAACAGTTTTGCCATGTTTAGTTTCAAGTGTGCGCATGCTCTTAGTAAGTATACTATTTCTTTGTTTTCAGTTATTTTGTGTACATTGTAAAGTGAATTGATACGGATGTAATGTGTGAAAAATGGTTTTACCCATTTTTTATTACTTTTCTATTTTTAGGGTAAAATATGCAGTTTGTAACTCAATTATCGTCAAATAATTAGCTCTCTAGATACAATCCGATACCATTTTATTCTATACAAATTAAAGTGATGAACGTTTTTAATTTATAAACTTCAATATTCAGCGGGATAATCGAGAAGTTAAAACTGGGTCACAACTTGAGAGAACAGCAACTTGAGAGAAAAACGTTCGCCTCGATATAGCCTCCACTAAGATGATGCGAACTGTGATATAAATATTTTTAAATAGCTTTCGCCCGCGACTCTGTCCGCGTCGAATAAAAAAAAAAAGTAAGTATGTGTTCTTAGCCTATGTGTTCTTCTAGACTATCCACTATATCTGTGCCAAATTTCATCGAGATTCGTTCAGCCGTTTTAGCTAGAAATTCTAACAAACATCGATCCACCAGAACTTTCATAGTAGTAAGACTAGCTTTTGCCCGCGACTCCGTTCGCGTAGAATAAAAAAAAACAAAAGTGGCCTACGTATTCTTCCAAACAATCCACTATACCAAATTTCATTATAATCCGTTCAGCAGTTTAGACAAACTGCAGCGCAACTTGAATCAAGTTATATCGCAAAACATAATAAGTTAAATTGATTGATTGATCATATCAATCCGAACATTCGAGTCTTCAATCACTGTCACCTATGGAAGGGAACAGCTGTTCGCTTCGCCGCCATTTTGTCGTTAAATCAATTTGTTAATATACAAAGATTTTGTTTCTGTACTTATGTTTTGGTTGACTCACGGTTGGCCAAAATTGTGCTATTAAGGACGACAAAGTTGACAACTTCGACCCGAAGACGCTTTGTCATTCTCAAACAAAGTAAAAGTTTGCTTTAAGGTTCTGAAAATGTGATACT